TGTATATATATATATATATATATATATATATAACTTATTCTCTTTTTTATTTTGTTTATATAATCTCTTTTAAATAACATTTATTTTTAGTTATTTTGTATGTATTTAATTTTTAAAGAGAATATTTTGATCATTCTATACTTTTTTAGAGGATATTTTTAACATGTATAACTTTATATAGTATTTTTTATTTTATTCGATCAATTTTATTTATATCAATTCATATTATCATTTGATTGAACATTTAATTTTGATAAATAAAATCATTCAACAAAACAAGGTGAAAGTGCAATATCAAATATTTTAATATTAATTTTCTATTTTTGTCTTTATTTATTATTAATAACTTTTATTATATATATGTATGCATGTATAAACATTTTGATTTTCAGTTATCTTTGTTTTTATGTTCAAATATACATTGGAAAAAATCTATATATATATATATATAATTTTTTTATAAAAAAATATTTAACCTACAGTGTAATGTTAACATCATAAATAAGTGATGATTTTGAAAGTTCACCCAAAAAAATTTAATTTAGCCCTCGCTATTTGATATGTTTAGTTTTTAATTTGAGAAGGGAAAGAGAAAGGTTATTGGATTTTGATGGTAGAGAAATAAAAATATTGTGGATGCTGATTTTAGCCACCAAAATTATTAATATTTGTGTTAAATAATTTTATTTAATTAGTTAAGTTCATATTATGTGCTTTTTTAACTTGAGAGTGCTTGAAAAAACAAATTTGAACTAGAAAAGATTTTTGGTTTTAGGTTGATTTTGAGTGTTTTTGAGATCATAGATGGATTTATCTAGATTCTTAGAGTGTTTTGAGTAGAAAATAAGTTGAAAAATAAATTTTTTAGTTAAAAAAATAATAGTTTTAATTTTATAGCCACCATAATGGCTAAAATCCAAATTAAACAACATATTGTTTATCTCAGCAAGCGACATTTAGTCTGTTTTATTTTTTTTAATAAAAATAAAAAAAACAACAATCCTAATAAAAAAAGAGACTAGATTCATGAGCATTAACAAGATGGGTTAGGTATACAAGCTAGGCTTACGCATTTTTCCTTTTTTCTAGATTATTTTTTTTCTATTATATATATATATATAAAAAACTTATTTTCTTTTTTATTTTGTTTATATAATCTCTTTTAAATAACATTTATTTTTAGTTATTTTGTATATATTTAATTCTTAAAGAGAATATTTTGATTATCTTATACTTTTTTAGAGGATATTTCTAACATGTATAACTTTATATAATATTTTTTTTATTTTATTTAATCAATTTTATATGTTAAATAACTAGTATAGTTATTAAATTTTATAGATTGATTCAATAATTTATCAATATAAAACCTGGCTTAAGTCAAATTTTGTTTCTAATTGGTTTGAAAATTGAATTGATCAAACTTAATTAAATCAATTCCAATATTATTTTTAATATTTATCCAAAATAATATTGTTTTATAATATTCCAGAGTTATTAGAATGAAGATGGAAACTTATCCTAATAAAATCCGATCCAAGTTGTAAACTAATTAGGACACTTGTAATCACAATTAAAAGACTCAATCCAACCCATATAACCCGATTCAAGTTTCAAGTTGAGATAAATCCAAGTTAGTGAATTGATCAGCTATCTTTTCATATTCAAAACAATATGATTTTGGACAAAAGAAGATCGTGTCAACTGATTAAGAATTTAAATTGAGTTGGATTTTTATTTAGGCTAATCATATAGCTAATTTAGAAAAATCTGGTCAACCCAATAAGTTTATTTGTGATCAAATTTATTTAAAATGATATTATTTTTTTTAAAAAATTATAAAGAACAACATTGTTTTGATCTGAAAATAATTAAAAAACATTAATCCAGATTAATTACTAACCTTCAAGATGACTTACTCAGACCATAACCTATGACTTGGACTGAGTCCCAGACCATATGGATTTATCAACTACGCTTGCAACAGTCTAACTGCTTCACAACCTGGATTGAATTTTATTAGGATAAGTTTACATCTTTCTCCTTGGAATACCTGATTTTAATGTTCTCATTTAATGCATATGTTACATGTGTATTTACCAAAAACATTCATTTGAAATTAAAACATTTATCACTTTTCAAAAAAAAAAAAAATCAATTCACAAGAGATAATAATACCTTTTTCATAAAGTCTTTTTAAAATTTACCTTTATATTTATAGTTTTCAACATCACTTTTATCTTTGATGCTATTTATTGTTTAATCTAAGAAAATATAATCAACTAGATTTAAATGTGTAGATCAAGAAATTAGGGCTACAAATTATATATATAAAAAAATTTTTTTGTTATTAAATTTTATTTGAAATGTGAATTCAAGATCTAACCAATTTATTTTTTAAAATTTTATTTGAAATGTGAACTCAAGATCTAACCAATTTATTTTCTAAATTGTATTAAATTAAACAAAATATTCAAGAGTTCACTCATTGTGACCAAATAAGAAATCCAAATTAATTCATAATTTAATTAAAATCTAATAAAAATATTTCATTAACTTTTTTTAAGGAATTTTTATATTAATCCGCCCGACTTATAATCGGTCTTGCACGGGTGGAACGGTCTGATTTAGTAACTATATTAGAAATGGGCCATTGCAAGCCAATGAAAACGACACCGAAGCATGGGCTTGCTTAGGATAATTGAAACCTCCAACATTTATTTTCACAGGTGTCCATTTCAAATCACATATGCTGACATGTTACTCTCCTATTGGTACAAATAACACACAAAACATCTAACGGTGTAGATTAATGGATTCTGTACAAGTGATCGTAGATGATTTAGATCTATGACTTGATTGATGATCATAGAAATTTGAAATTCAAATCAATCATCATTAAAAAAAAAAAAAAAATCCTTAACAAGCGCCCTCTCTTTATTTCAACGGTCCTTTTTTTCCTTAAAGGGCTCTCTCTCTCTCTCTCTCTCTGCTGGATCGTCCAAAAATTCGAAACCTTATTTCTCGCTCTTGTTTCTTAACACCATCTGAATCTTCTCAGGAAAATCGAAAAGAAAACAAACCGACACTCACATTTTCTCGGGAAAATCAAACGACGGAAGAAGTTTTGGACAAAACCACTGTTTTGTTTAGGTTTGTGCTTTGATCTCCCTCGCTCTCTACTTGGGATTTTTGGCTTGCTTGAATTTCTGTTTGGTTGCTGAGAAAGCGATGGAATTGTGGTTGGTCAATCTGATTTGTTGGTTAGGATTTTATTTTGGACTGAGTTGAGGGAGAATTTTAACTGTGCGTTTGACATTTGTTTTTTCCTTTTGAATTTATTTTTGGAAACTTTGAGAGTTTCTTTTCCTGGATTTTATCAGGAATCAAACAAAAGTTTAGGTTTGTATTTTTCGTAGTTTTTCGATTTCGTTGAGCTGGAATTTGATTTTATTTTCATAGAAAAAAAGATGAATCAGCGTGTTAATAAGCATTTCGTATGGTTTAAGGTTTGATTATGTTATACAATAACTGAGATTTTCTTCTAACTTTCAAATTTTTGCAATTCTTTGTTTGGCTGCAGAGAAAATGAAAATTATGAAAATTTGAGGTTCAGTTGTTTGTTAGAACTCAAGGTAGAGAAAATTTGAGCTGATAAGTGTTCGAAATCTAGAATTGTTGCTTTTCTTTCATGGATTTTCTCAGGAACCAAACAAAGTATTGGGTTTGAATTGGTTTTTGATTTTTTTGAGCTGCTATTTTGTGGCATTTTCTTTGGAAATCACTAATTTTATCGCCAAATTGAAAAGGAATTATCTTGTTAATTATACATAGGTTAGGGCTCTGATTAGGGTTTTAACTAACCGAAACTGAAGCTTTTATGTAGAAATACGAGTAACCAAAATTAAGAAATTAAAGTCTTATAATTAGAAGGTTCTTGTTGTTTGATTGGCTTTTTCTTTCTTTCTTTCTTTTTTTTTAAAAACGTTAGTTATAGTTTGAATAGAGGTTTCTGTTTAGAATATCCATGAAAC